AATTCCCAGACAGTCACTCAAAAAAGAAAATATTTGTGAAAAGCAGAATGAAAAACGGAAAACTGTGTGTGTGTGTACATCCCGCTCTTACTGGCGCTGGTCAGGTCAGGGCGGGGGGTGGCTGATTGATTGGGCGGCGTAAGGGTTGCGGAGAAGGAGGTGCGCCCCGGGGGGGCGAAGCAAAGCATTTTCTTTGGTGACGTTGTTGTGGAGACTCTCTGCTTTGCTTTGTTGCTGTTTTTCCTTCTTTTTTTTGCGCTACTGCCGATGAAAAGTCAAACACCCAGCAACAACAAAGGCCTGCGGGGCGCTGCTGGCAGACAGTCAGACATTCTCAGATATATATACCCACATATATATATATATACACTCTATATATATGTATATATACAGGGGGTATGCACAGTGGGGCATACGCAATTGTCTCTAAGTGCGAATAAAAACAAAACACCGAACAAAAGATGAAAAACGAAGAAAAACTTGACATTTTCTCGGCGGAAAAGTGTATATCTTTAAGAGCACAGAAATCAAGAGAAGGCTAGTCGAGATCGAGATACATATATTTTTATTGTTCTCACGCAGGAAAAAAAAAAGTCGGAATAACACTATGTTTATTTTTAAATATAATGCTCTGCCTATAACAAAGGCAAATATTTTCACGCTATATGTGTGATTGTGATTGTGATTGGGTCTGAAAGGTTCGCCGAATGTGTGAACTTTAAGCTTTTATCGGGTACCTGCTAATAAAAGAGCAACGGCCATAAACTTGACGGTGGGAGAGGAGGGGGCCTCTGAGGGGGGGGGGTGGGCGATAAATAGATAAGAGCGTTAGGGTACAACTTTGTTTTTGTTCTGCCCCGGTTTTCCTGCCACTGATGATTCAGTAAATTAGCAGGGCAGTGCATCCGTGCAGCAGTGCAGCAAGGTGCACACGCATTTGCCTACACTGAGAGAAAAATCAGTCTCTCCCCCATTCGACAAGGTTTCCGCATTTGATTTATACGGTTCGACTGGTGTGCGTCATAAATGTGAAAATTATAGTCAGATTTTGCGTCACTAGACATCCCAATTAAATTGGCAAATCTTCTGTCTAGTATCTTTTCTCAGTGGACCAGACCCGCACTCACAATACCTCGTATACTATACACGGACATATTTAAGGACGTGCCCTGTTTAAGCAACCATTATCTGGCACGGCCGGAAACACAAGGCGACCTCCATACCTCCATGGTAGCAATACTGGGAGGAGCAGTGTAGTTTATGTGCCACAAGCAGTCAAAAGGCAGAGTTTCGTTGCAATCGCTGGTAGTCCAGACAATGTGCAATCAAAAGAGAGGAGGAGTGGGAGTGGGAGTGCCACACCCATAGAAATCTGAAATGCCAGCCAAGCCTTTCTTTCACCATGACGCCTTGCCTAGGTCCCTCCTATCCTCTATGAATATACACCCCACCCGAAGCCTGGCTACTCGACGACATTGAAAGGGAAATTACATTTCATGTTTATTGTCTTAATAAAAATAATGTTTTTGCAAAAGAGGCAAGCAGGCAGGCAGGCAGGCAGCCAGCATCAACAGCCAGCACCGGGCAGCTCCTCACACCTGCACCTGCCACTGGCCCGTGCCACAAATCATGTCAGAACCAATGCAAAATGCAGAAACCCAAGAGAATCTGTGCCAACTGAACCGGCCAGTGATTCAAGGGAGTACACAAGACCTCTCTTTAATAATTATTTTTTTGCGGGAACTTTTCAGCAACTCCAAGTCCACTGTGCGCAGAGGTCCCTTTGTTTGCTTAGCTTCCTTCTGCTGCTGCTGGGTGAGCCGAAATTTAAATATTTGACATTTATTAATGTAATGAAAATGTCATTAAATAAACATGGCGAAATGGAACTGGTTAGCCAAATGTGCGCAGTCAACAGCCGAAATTAAAAACACACTTGCCACTCAAGGCATTCCACCTGCTCGGCTACATACATGTGACATGAGACCTAGGGACTAGGGACCCAGTATGTCAGAAGGGGGGGAAAGCAGGCAAGCTGCTCTGTTTGAGGCATTATTTTAGGACTTTTCGCACATAGCGTAGCCAGCATAAACACCTGGACAACACGTGGTTTTTCCACCGCCAACGGCAGGCAGAAAATAGCTTTGAAGTGGCCTGTGAAAAAAGTGTGGGGGAGACAATGGAATGCTACTTTATATTGGCTTTTTATCTGTCATTATTATTCCCTGGCCCCCAGGCACCAGGCCGACTGAAAGTGATTCATGTACAAAGTACTAAACATATATGTATGTATATGTATTCTATAACTGGACTATCCCTGGAGGGAGCTTTTGTTTTATTTTGTTGGGGGAAAGGGTATTTACGTAAACAATTAAAGAGATCATATAAAATGCCAAGCACCAGGAAAAGTGTTTTAAAATAAAGACTAAACTTCTAATTCCCTTTAAAGATTTAAAAAAATAATTGTTAGACCTCCTCGTACTCGTACTTCGGCATAAATAATTAAATAAATCAATCAGAGTGCCTAATAAAGACATGAAAATAGCCTTAAATTATTTATGCCCTGCCTGGCTATATAGAGACCGTTTGCAGTGCATTTACCACGAATACCCTCAATCAACTATGAATAAAAGCTGGCTGGCTGGCAATATGAAGCAAAAATGAAACGAAAAAAAACTCAATTAATACACCTTGAATGTGAAAATAGCTGCATGGGGCTAAATAATGTACAAAACAAAACAAAATCCGCCAAAAAAGAATTAAAATTCATGAACATACGTAAGAATTGGTAGTGAGCCAGACCGTCCGGCCGTCCAACCGACCCACCGACTGACCGACCGATGGATGGATGGATGTATGGAATAAAGTAGAGAATAGGTAAATGGATAGTATGCATAGAATAATAAATAGATGGAACATCACCGTCCCGGCCATCCTAGCTAAGCCCCTGGAGGCGGTGGGTGGTGGGGAGGTGGGAGAGCGTTCCAAATGTAAACAAAATGCAGGCCGCCGGTTCCTATCTGTATCTGTATCTGTACCTATAGATGTATCTGTATCTGTATCGGGGAATCGGTTAATCGGTAAATCGGTTCGTTTCGGTTCGCTTCGATTCGGGTCGACTGAAGTTAATATAAACAAGAATCGGGAGGGGGGGTGGATGGGGGGAAAGCAGAGACAGGCCGTAATTATTGAACCGCATGTAAAATCGTCTTAAAGTTAAACAAAAAAATTCTTCAACATTTTCCCCAACTGGCACACAAAAATGAACTTGATACTCTTTGCTGGTGCTGCTGTTGTTGAGCTTCCACTACTACTGCTCTCGCTTTCCCGGCCCCAGGTCCGCTGGTCCGCACACTTTGCTTTTCGTTCGCTTCTTGCAATTGTGTGGAAAATTGAAAATCAAATGAATGCGAGCGCGGGCAGAGGGAAAGCTGAAGCAGCAGAAGAAAAGCGTACGAGGGCCGAAAGTGCGAAAGGAAAAAGCATAAGCAACATTGTCGATGGCGGGCAGCACAGCACAGCACAGAACAGCAATCCAATCCCAAGTCTAACCAAGCCAACAATATGAACTATAAAAAGCAACACGAAAATATCAAAGTCCGCTTGAACCAAAGGCCAAAAACTGTAGACCTCGTCCATGCCCCAGTGGGTGGCAGGAACAACAATGGGGCGGCAAGGTGGCTGCTTTGCAATATGAAAAGAGAATACATAAAGCTAAGCCAAAAGAATTGTTGGTTGTAAGCTATATACGCCAGCCAATGTCCATTTCGTGGCTTGCTTTAGAGCAGAGAACGTGTCCTGATAGTTTTTTTTTAGTCCTTAATAACAGGAAATCTCGTACCTAGTTTTAATTAGTATTTTCATACACCTGGCCAAAATTTAAAACGACTTTAAATGGCTTTTAGTTATGGTAATGGCTCCAACGATACCTGGGGATACCGATATATCGTGCCCCGACACCTGGTCACCTCCTCTTATCCAATATTTCTCACCGATATTGCTGCTAGCGATGGGAGAATGGTGGGTTGGGAAAGAGTGAGGAAAATCTCTATCCCTTACTTGTTGGTGGGTCTTATAATAAAAAGAAATCTCTTACCTAACATTAATTACTATTATCATACACCTGCTCAAAAAAAATAGATATCGATCACCCACCTGGTGAAACGATACCTGGTATCCAATGTTTCTCACCGATATTTCTACTAGCGATGGGATGAAGGTAGACTGGGAAAGAGTGAGATAAACCCCTCTCCCACACGTGTGAGGAGGTTTTAATATTAAAAACGATCTTACCTAGCATTAATTAGTACAATCTAGTACACCTGCCCAAAATGTAAAAGACTTCAAATAGTCTCTAATTATGCTAATGGCTCCAAAAGCATATCGCATGCCCCCATCGTGACACGATACCTGGTCACCTCCTCTTATTCAATATTTCCCACCGTTATTGCGGCTAGTGATGGGAGGCAGGTGGACTGGGGATAAGAGAGGAAAAACCCTCTCCCTCACGTGTAGGTGGTTTTGTTCTTTTTTTGGGGGGGGAGAGAAGGGGCCAATTAGGGCCACCTTCAGTTTGAAGGGAGGGATCCCGATGGGCGTTGAAGTAAACCCCACATACAACCTGCGGTTTGCTTTCTTTATTTTTTTTTTGTTATTTATTCCTATTTTTTATCCATTTTTGTTTTGCTTTGTTGGGTTCTGTTCTATTCTGTTTTCTGTTTTCCGTTTTATGTTTTCTGTTTTGCAATTTCTGCTATCACAGCTGCAGTCTGCACATACATTTTCAATATTGTTTTTGGGGTTTGGATCCCCCTGTGGGGCTCTAGGGGTCTGGGGGTCTGCTTATAGGTTAAAGGGGCTTTCTTTTGTTTATTATTATGCTTATTGTACTTGGTGCATAGATGGTTGTTGTTATTGTTGCCTTTATTGATATTGTTGGTGAAGTGGTTGTTGTTGTGGGGGGTGGGGGTGGGGTGGGGTCACCGTGGGGTTGTACTTACCAAGTGATTGAGCATAAACCGCTAAAAATATCGAGAGGAATGAAAGAGCGCTAGCCAAGAATTTTGCCTCCATCTTTGGTATTGATCCGTTGTTGTTGTTGGTGTCGGGTATTGTTGTAGTTATTAATTATGCTGCTACTGCTGCTGCGCTGCTGCTGCTGCTGCTTCTACTGCTGCTGCTGCTGCTGCGGCTGTTGCTGCTGCTGATGTTGTTGTTGTTGTTGTGGTTGTTGGGTATGGTGTGACTTTTTGTTGTCAAATTTTCGTTATTTTCTTGTCATTTGCATTTATTTTTTATTGTTAATTTACTCCGTATTATGATTGATTTTTATATCTTGTGGTTGTTGTATTTCTTTATTTTTATTTTTATTTTATTTTTAATTTTTTTTTTTGTACTTTAAGCTTAACTTACTAAATCATTATGGTAAATTTGAAGTTATAAATTGATGCTGAAATCTTGACTCTATTATGCTAAGTGGTTTTATTTGATATTAGTTGATGCGGCTGATGTTGTTTGTTGCTTTTGTTTGTTTTGGTTTTCCTTTTTGTGTGTTTGCTCGAGTACGAATTTTCATCCAAGCTCCTCTTGGCTCTATTCTTCTCTTAATTCATTTAGCTATTTTTTTTTTCATAAATAAAATGGAAATTTAATTTTCTTTCAACATTTTTGTTTTGTCTTTCGTTCGGTTTTAATTTTATGCTTTTTGCAAAAACAAAAACAAAATACAAAAATTCAAATGAAAATTCAGTGGAAAATTCAAGAGAGACAAACGAGAGAGGAAAACTTTTGAAAATACATAAATTTCAAAAATAAACAAGGTGAAAGGGGGGGTGAGGAATCAAGGATACTTTAGCCAACAAATCCAAAAAATGAAAAGCAAAACGAAAGCCGAACGAACAACATATAACATTCAACTAAATGCGATTTTTATGATTTTTTTTTCGATTTTTTTTTTTTTTTTTTTTTTTGTTCTAGCCGCACACGTGCTTGCCACTTAAGGGGAGCGGGGGTGTGTTGCTTATTCAACGTTAACTTTCACAGCTTTTATTTTCACGCACTGACGGGAAAAGCTCACACCGACACCCCACATACGCATATCATCCGAATTCTGTCCCAGTCCAAAAATTTTCTTTCTTTTTTTTTTGTTGTTTTTTTTTTTTTTGCTAGCAGAACCGAAAAAGAAATTATGGCACGTTGACGACGAAAATACTATTTTTTCTGGCTAGACACAAAAACGTAAGGCAAGAGAGAGAGAGAGCAAGTGAGAGTCCGAAGAAAGGTGAGGCAGAGTCAGGAGGCAGAGAGGTTATGATTTTTTTTTTCACTCAAGATGTGCGCAACAATTCGAGGATACTCCTGTTCTTATTCGCTAATCGGACCTACTAGGCTAGTCGGTTGTACTTTTTGGTTACTACTATGGAAAGCGACGGCGGCGGCGGACACACGGAACTCAGATAGTGAGCGAAAAAGGCACTAACGGGCCAGGCAGAGCGAACGGAGCGAACACAGCGAATTCGACGAGCAGACTGAACCGACCCCACTGTGGGCGAGAGTAGCCTCCTCCGCCGCTGCCTCAGCTGCGGTCGACGCTGGGCAGCGACGTCAACGCACAGTGATTTCGGTACAGTGATATAGACCCTATGTATATAGGGCTTATCTAAATAGTTGAGCCGTTATCTTGACCAGGCCGATTACGAGTGGCCAACAAGAAGAAGGTTGCTTGGAAACAGGAATGTGGAGTTCTGGGTTTTCTACTGTAAGGATCGAACATTCCTCAATCGAACTATGAACCCAAACAATTGATATTGTCAGAGAGAGCTAAATTGATGTAGATTAATTGATAATTAATAAAAAACAAATAACATTCCATTCCATCTCACTGCATGACGTCAGCAGTCTGGCTGATAAGATCTTGTATATTCTTCCAGAACCTCGTATTGCGGATGAGGAACCTCACAACTATTTCGAGTCTTATCAACTGCGACAAAAAACAATGATTACCCAAAAAAAAAATATATAAAATTATGAAACTAAAAATTGAAACAAATAGCTTCTTAAAAATTGTACTTTATTGAGTTTAAGATTTCACAACTTCGTGACGTGACTGGGAATACTTCAAGATAGCAGCTTCGAAATCACAGCAACAGTCACTTATTGTTTACCGTTAGACGACGTGAGGGACGGCAGCGGAGTCCCGCATTATACATAACTTAGATAAAGCCATAATGCAGTACTTTGAACAAATACTTTTTGGATTAAAACACTACGGCTACCGAAGAAGATAATAATACATATTTCGTTATCTCAGCCAGTCTCAGGCCCAAAATATTATCCGACTGACCCGTCCCGTCGCTGTCTCGCTCGGATCCTCCATCTCGTTCATAGTCCCGTTCATAGCAATCTCATCGACGCTACTAGTTTGGGGCGGTTCGGTTCGGTCCGCACATGAATTATCCATCTATTTAAACAGAACACTTTGCTAATTCGGTCTGGGCCTGGGTCTGGGTGTGTTAGGGGGGGAGGGTGGTGTATTAACGGAGGTGAGGCGGAACAAAAGACTAGGTATTGTCTGGTCATGCTTATGCTGTTATGTTGGCCAATTCTCCCAAACACACAAATATAGCCAGAGGTGCCAGAGTCGGCACTGTTTTGGGTCCAATAATCGATCTAATATTCGATTGTTTCAATCGATTTCTAATCACACTTATGTAGAGCATAAGAAGAAGCTGAAACCAGTTTCTATTGTGGCACTTATGTGGGGGGCACTGGTTGAGGCCGTAGTGGCATGTTATCGATTGGGGAGAATAAAAAAAAAACAATGCTATCGATTTGCTGCTAGACTCGAGCCTCGAGGTCAATCGAATGCTAAATGTTATGGCATTTGTGGGCCAGCAGCGAGTGCGCTATGTGTGTTTTGCAAGCATTTCTGCAAAAGTTTTCTTTTCCTTCGCGTTTTATTGGCAAACTTTGAGCATAAACACTTTGGAGACAAATTGCCCTAACCGCAGAGCAGCGCCAAGAGCAGCGCCGTTCGAGAAAGAAAAGAGCAGCATAACGTCATCGTCAGCCATGACTCAGTTTATTTGCTCTCTCGTACACTCATACTCACACTCATTCATTCGCCAGCCCCCCCACTGACCATCCCCCCTCCCGCGTCGAACATTGACACAGTGACACGCAGATAGATGCTGTTTTGGGGTTTGTGGCCAAAAATTGCGAAAAAATTAATAAGCCCGACTTTAAACACCCTGGACTGATGGAATGGGGCGCTAATTTAATTCCTTTAATTAAAAGCCTTTGAGAAATATGCTTCTCCCCTGCCCCGCTGACGCTCCATAACAATCAAGTTCACGCGCCTGATGGAGAACTCGGCTTCGTGGCTGGCCAATAAAGTTCATTCAAATGACTTTATGGCCGGCGCGTGTGTGTTTGTTGATGTAGTCATTGATACAGTGAGGATACTTCTTAAAGGACATCCTTAAAAGGAGATCTTAGAGTTCCCAACTCCAGAAATGACAGGAATTAAGAAAACAAACTGATATCCATTCATGATAGAACTTGTTTTCTAGAATAATTGAGAAAGAAAACTTTTATCCATTCAGGATAGAACTTGTTTTCTAGGATGAGTCAAAGTTCTTTTTAGGCCCATTACCACTGTACTCTCAGGCCTAGAAGTATGCAACACAGTATAGAAAACCTACCACGGAGAAAGCTCTCAGCTGCTTCTGGCCATTTAAGACGTTCTATTAAGCCGAGTGCCGAGCCCCGAGAGCTCACTGTATCGATGTTGATGTCGGTGTGTCATGGCAAGCTGGATGACGTGATTGTCTCCTCCCAGCTCTACTCTTCTTGCTCTTCTCGGCTATCCTATCCACTCTCCGCTCTCCGCCCGCATATGATTAAAACGGCAAAACAAGATAAAACTCGTTGGAGCAAAGGAGCTGCTGCTGCTGCCGCCTTTCTTGCTTGCTGCTGTTGTTGTTGTTATTGTGAGGATAGGCCCTGCCAGTGGGTCAGTGGTAGATAAGGGGGGATGAGCGATTTGGGTGGGGGGGTGGCGCAAAATATACGCATGACACTCCTTGCCGCCGCACACTCACGCACACTCGCAGATAAACGCGACACATGGACACGAGGTCACTCACACAGGCACTCCACCACCCGCACAACCGCACTTTCCCCCCCACATCCCACTCCGCCACCCACCGTGCACCATTAAATGTTATTAGTTTATTTACAGTTAGGTATTTGAAAAGTTCATGTTCTGTATTTCATACATCATACATCGTACATCATACATCACGAGACACACACACACACAGGCACTTGATAATTTTTGGACAATTGGGATTTTTTTTTAATTTTCGGCTTAGGGTGATAGGAACGCGATTTTCTTTCTTTTTCAATGCGATGGGAAATGGGATGGGGCTACTCCTCGTTTTTCCCATTTTTCGCTTTTCGTTTTTCGCCGTTACGTTTCGATTCTTGCTTTTTTTTTTTAGCTGCGATGACGACAGCGTGCGCGGCGGCGCTTTTTTCGCTGCTTTTGTCTTCAATAACATTTACACTTTGCACTATTTATGTAATAGTTTTTCGATCGGTGCACGGTGTTTCATCTCAGATTTTCGGTCACTGGGCTGGTGGCTGGTGTACGATACGAATTATGTACATTTTTCACATTTTTCCCCGATGATTTTCCTTTTGTGTTTTACTACCAAAGAAGAGAACAAACTACCAACACACACGCACGCACTGTCCCTCTCTCGCTCGCACACGCACACTCACACACATGCACCGCTCAATGACGAAATTCTTCGCACGACGTTGACAACTCTAGGTTCCTAGCTCTCCCAGCTCCTCTGCTGTGTGGGGTTCTCGAGAGTATCGGAATTTGTGTGTGTGTGAGAGAGAGGTACTGGTGTGCTTTTCGACACAATTTTTGCGTTGGGCAACCTAGCACCTTTGATTTCCTGGCGATTTTTCACATGTTCACCGGCCGCGGGGCCTCACACTTTCACCGCTGACGCACGGAACGGGGATTAAACTCTTCGATTTGCACTCTTTATTGCATTTACCTAGCACACAAAACACAAAAATTCGATTTTTTCCTCGCTGATATTTTCACGCGAATGACCTTACATCACACGCATACGATACACACACACACACAGACAACTGACGGTGTTACCATTGCTGGGTGTCTTCAGTACCGCACAAAAAAATACCAGAAAATCGATCTTGTCGTACTTTTCAACACTAATCAAGGATAAAACAATTGGTTCCATCTCCAAATTCTACCGGTTATGTAATTTATAGCTCTTTTTTTTTAATATTACTCGGTGGTAATAGCTTTTAAATAATAAATCCAGAAAATATAAGTGTTTTCCGGCCGAACCGGTTATGATGGCAGCACCAAAAAGTCTATCGGCTAGGTCCTACCAGACATCGATAACACCAGGTTTTACAGTACTTGAATTTGAAGTATTTTACAGCACTGAACAATCAAAAAAAAGTCATCAAAGCGGGGTGTGGACTGGGTTTTGTGTTGCTTCATTTTTTCGAATATTTAAGTTCTCGGGTTTGTTTTATTTACATCTTTTGTTGTTAAAGACGATGAGCGCCGCCTGCTGAGCGAGGCAAAGGAATTTAACTAAGTGAACGAGGTGAGTGTGGCCCATCAGAGGAGTTCTGGCGGTGACGACCCGCCCAATTTCTGTCTGTTTGGTGGCTCAAAAGATGCCTAAGCCAGAGTCTTTGCTTGCGTTGTTGTTGTTGGCACATGGGCGTTGACCAAAAGTTAAACAAGTGCTAGAAGGCGTCACTTTTATTCATTTTCTATGATATTTTAATGAAAATATCTAAGAAAGTAAAAGGTCCTGATGCCATTTTTTCAGCATCAAGGAAATACGAAAAAAAAAATTGTCAGCCACCTGCTGTCCAATTGGATTCCGGCGTTGTTTCTTCACCTTTTCGTGTCTCGTTTTTTGCAAGGCACTCAAATTTCAATGCCATTTGGTCCTTAGCCCGCCCAAAAGTCCTGCCTGCCATTTCAATTGCACTCTTGCCCTCTCAATATTTTCGAATGGGTCTTCTTCGGCTAATTAATGACCACTTTACATGGGTACGCCATGGTGTACACTTGTGCGGGTGAGGTGTGAGTGTGTCTGTGAGTGTGAGTGTTATGTGTAATGTGCGAAGGGTGGATTACAAAAGTCGCTTTGGAAATTATTGTCAGGCCAGGTCTTCTCGCCCAGTATTTGTTTTCACTGGACTGGAGGAGAACCCTAGGCCAGTAACTTCTGCTGCTTCAGTGCACCTAGCTACACTCGCGGTCAAAATAATAGCACCATCGCCTAGCTATTATATCTGACTTTAATAAATCAGTTCTTTAGTTTCTAATAAATATTTTCTAATAAAATAAAAGTCTTATTTTATAGAGGTCTCTGTTCCTATTTGTCGATCTATTATTGTAGACACATGTGTATCTGCTTCTATGGTCAGGTAGGCGTCCGTTTCGTTTGCGTGTTTTGTTCCGTTCGGTTCCAGTGTGTTACCTTACCATATACCTTTCCTTGCCGGCGTACCGCATTTCAAATGCTCCCTCCCTCCGTTCCACAGTTGCCTTTCCATCCTCTCCTTCGCCCCTTTCCACCGCCGAGGAGTGCGATCTGACCCTTCTATAGGGTTCCCTTGGCATGTTGACTTTTTACCTAGACTCGGAGTTAATACCTCCAGTGAAAAGGGAGTTTTGAAAGGTCCTTTGTCCTTGCCGGAATGATGCATTGCCTGCTGATTGTGTCCTGATAAGGCAGGCTCCTAAAATATGTGCATTTTTAAGAACTTTTTAGAGTAAAAATATTCCGCAACTGCAATTTCGCGGGCAATAAACTTTCCCTCCAACGGATAGTGGAATAAATTAAAAAAGTGAATAATTAATGAGTTCATAATAAAAACAAAAAGCATAATTAGCCTCTCTGTCAGTAGTGATAACCAATCCAGAAATGTTTATAATGCAATAAACATAAACATCTCATCGGAGATCATCGAAGTAGTTCTGTGGGCCTCTCATAATCTCCTCCACCCAATCGACAATAAATCACAGAGGCTCTAAAAAGACACTTTGTTTTGGGCGGGAATCGGTCCATCTCTGCTCCAAATCCCTGCAAGACTAATTGCGCTCCCACTTGAATGACATTTAACTTAATGTTTGACATACTTTCAATAGAGCTGTTCCGACAGCAGCTACTCCCCCTTATCTGCTGTTCATTGCTCCTGCCGCCGGATCGGGTCTATAGGGTCTATTAATACCGAAACATCGGCGCCCCCATTAACGACTTGTTCGCAGCACGCGGAAATCAACCGAGCCGACCAGAAACAATCCTCAGGGTATCAGGGTGGATCGGTAGGATAGTTTATTTCTATAAGGCTATCCAGGCAGGTGTGAGTTTATGGGAATAGGATTTCATTAGGGTAGACCAAGAGAGAAATCTCAAGATTTTTAAGGATTAGAACTCAAAGAATAAACTATTTCCAATAGTATCTTGTTTGGTTTATACTTTTTCCAACACCTTTTGACTTTTTGTTTAAAATTCAAACTACAAAGAGCCACCCTGATGGACAGGCCATCAGCCACACACAGAAATCCAAATCGTAGCCCTCTATTTATAGTAACTGCCGCTGCGAGTATGAGATATGCAGCCAAATCCAAACCATTCCCTAATTCATTCACTTTCCGACTTCTCCTCCGTGCAGCCAAGCAGCAACGATGTGGCACTTGCTGCGACCCCTGCTCGTGGTAGCCGCCGTCTTGGACGCACTGCAGCCGTCGGCTGGCCAAATCGACCCTTACTACAACCAAAATCAGCAGCAGCAGCAACAGCAACAGAACCCGCAGTTTCCCACCCAGCAGTGGGGCAACAATCCCCAAACGAACCAGTATGGCAACCAGTTCGGTAATCTGGACAGCAACTCTCCCCAGACGAATCAGTTTGGCAACAGCCTGAACAATCCCCAAGCGAATCCCAACGATCGTCCGCCCTACAGGACGGATGCTGGCAGCTACAACGACCTCACCGGCCAGGATGAGTTCGGCAAGAGGCAGCAAGGTGTGGGCTTTCCGGAGGAGGAACCCAGTTTGACGCGCGGAAAATCGTCTTACAACGTGAAGGCCACCTTCCTGGAGTCGTTGCATTCGCGGGAGCCCACCTACTTCATTGTGGCCTCGCGAATGGTGCGTCCCGGTCTCATCTACCAGGTGTCCGTGTCCATCCTCCAGGCCCAGTACCCGATCACAGTGCACGCGAGTATCTCGTGCGACGGCGTCCAGATTAGCGGCGATTCCAAGGACGTGAAGGAGGGAGTTCCCGAGACGCTGCTCATGCGCATTCCACCCACGAGTGTGATCGGAAAGTACAAGCTGAGAGTCGAGGGCTTCTTCCAGAACGTTTTCGGCGGACTGGCCTTCCTCAACGAAACCAAGCTGGACTTTTCCCAGCGATCGATGACCATCTTTGTGCAGACGGACAAGCCCCTGTACATGCAGGGCGAGACGGTCAGGTTCAGGGCCATTCCCATTACCACCGAACTCAAGGGATTCGACAATCCCGTGGATGTCTACATGCTGGATCCAAACAGGCACATCCTTAAGCGTTGGCTCTCGCGGTAATATATATTATCTTGACTTGGCTTGGCTCTTATTCATCCTTTCTCTCCCATCTCTCTAGACAATCCAACTTGGGTTCCGTCTCGCTGGAGTACAAGCTGTCCGATCAACCCACCTTCGGCGAGTGGACCATCCGGGTTATTGCCCAGGGCCAGCAGGAGGAGAGCCACTTCTCCGTGGAGGAGTACTACCAGACACGCTTCGAAGTCAACGTGACCATGCCCGCCTATTTCTTCACCACGGATCCGTTCATCTACGGCCGGGTGATGGCCAACTTCACCAGTGGGCTGCCCGTGAGGGGAAATCTCACACTGAAGGCCACCATTCGCCCCATCGGCTACTTCAGCAACCAGGTGCTCAACGAGAAGTATCGCCTGGGACGATCCCCGCTGGAGCAGGCCAATCGATACAACGAGCGCTGGCGCTACAACAATCCCAACCAGAACCCCCAGATACAGTACAATGTACCCGGCCAGCTGCCCCAGGACGGAGCCGATCTCTCCCAGGATATACTGTACAGGAATCAGTACGTGGTGGAGCGCCACTACCAGTTCGAGGAAGAGTGGCCGTTTTGGTTGAAGAAGCCCGAGTACCAGGAGAACTTCGACAACTACAATTCGTGGACAAGCAGCTACCGAAAATCGCTACCATACCTGCGCTATTTCAACGGCACCTTCGACTTCAAATGGCCGCTGAGGGAGTTGGAGCTCCTCGTGCCCAATCTGGCCAACTCCGAGATCCTGATCACAGCCACGGTGGGCGAGAAGTTCTACGACGAGATCATCAGTGGCTACTCGGTGGCGAGGGTCTACAATTCCAGCCTGCGAGTGGCTTTCCTGGGAGAGTCGCCTCAGGTCTTCAAGCCGGCCATGCCCTTCACCACGTACCTGGTGGTGGAGTACCACGACGGTTCTCCCATCGATCCGAATCTTCTGCGTCAGGGTCTGATGGAGGTGTCTGGATTCGTGGAGAGCCGCAATGGAGGCCGCCGCGACTGGCCCACCCAGAGGTTGCAGATGTCGTTGCTGAGTGACGGCATCTGGGAGGTGAAGATCGACATCCGGAACGACCTGAACTTGGACGATAGGCCGCAGTCGAGGGACTTCCTCAACGGCATCCAGAACATGCGGCTGCAAGCGAACTTCGTGGACCCGCGCGGCGAGCGCCTCCAGACGGAGCTCCTCCTGTTATCCCACTACTCCCCGAGAAACCAGCACATCAAGGTCACCACTAGCACGGAGCAGCCAGTTGTCGGAGAATACATCATCTTCCACATTCGCACCAACTTCTACCTGGAGGAGTTCAACTACCTGATTATGTCCAAGGGCGTGATCCTGGTGAACGATCGCGAGACTATAACGGAGGGAATCAAGACCATTGCTGTGGTACTGAGCGCAGAGATGGCTCCGGTGGCCACGTTGGTGGTGTGGAAGATCACCCAGCAGGGTCAGGTGGTGGCCGATTCCCTGACCTTCCCGGTGAATGGCATCTCGAGGAACAACTTCACCGTGTACATCAACAACCGCAAGGCAAGGACCGGAGAGAAGGTGGAGGTGGCCATCTTCGGAGAGCCCGGCTCCTACGTGGGACTCTCGGGCATCGACAGCGCCTTCTACACAATGCAGGCGGGCAACGAGCTCACCTACGCCAAGATCATCACCAAGATGTCCAACTTTGACGAGCAAACGAATGGAACCTACAAGCACATTTGGTATTCCCACGAGGGCAATCCCGACGAGCTGGTCTACTTCCCGGCCTCCTCCTTCGGCGTAGACGCCAACAGAACGTTCGAGTACTCCGGGCTGGTGGTCTTCACGGACGGCTATGTTCCCCGAAGGCAGGACACCTGCAACCGCACCTTGGGCTACGGAGAGTGTCTCAGTGGCCGGTGCTATCGGCTGGAGAAGCAGTGTGACGGCCTGTTCGACTGCGAGGACGGCACGGACGAGATCGGATGTCATGTCCGGAACGACACAGAGCTCCTGAACTACCGCAAGTACCGATTCAACCGCGTCCTCCGCCACTACGAGAACGTCTGGCTCTGGAGGGATGTCAACATTGGACCCCACGGGCGCTACATCTTCAATGTGGAGGTGCCCGATCGCCCGGCCTACTGGATGGTCAGTGCCTTCAGTGTGAGTCCCTCGAAGGGATTCGGCATGATCAACAAGGCCCTGGAGTATGTCGGAGTGCAGCCGTTCTTCATTAACGTGGAAATGCCGGAAGCCTGCCGCCAAGGTGAGCAGGTGGGCATCCGCGTCACCGTCTTCAACTACATGACCACCCCGATCGAGGCCACTGTGGTTCTGCACGGCAGTCCCGACTACAAGTTTGTGCACGTGGAGGAGGATGGCATCGTGCGCTCCTACAATCCCAGGACCAGTTCTGGCGAGCATCAGTTCTTCATCTACTTGGAGGCTCAGGGCACCACGGTGGTCTATGTCCCGGTGGTGCCGCAGCGGTTGGGCAATGTTGATGTCACCCTGCATGTAGCCACTCTGCTGGGTACGGACACCATTACCAGAAGACTGCACGTGGAGTCCGATGGTCTGCCGCAGTACCGTCACCAGTCCGTGCTTCTTGATCTCTCGAACCGAGCCTATGTCTTGGAATACATGCATGTGAACGTGACCCAAACCCCTGAGATTCCCTACCAGGTGGATCGTTATTTCGTGTACGGTTCGAACAGAGCGAGAATATCGGTGGTGGGAGACGTTGTGGGTCCCATTTTCCCGACCATGCCGGTCAATGCCAGCTCGCTGCTCTACTTGCCCATGGAGTCCGGCGAACAGAACGCCTTCAGCTTCGCTGCCAATCTGTACACCATCATGTACATGCGACTGATCAACCAGCGCAACAAGACCTTGGAGAAGGAGGCCTTCTACCACATGAACATTGGCTACCAGCGCCAGCTGAGCTTCATGCGACCCGACGGCAGCTTCTCCCTCTTCCGCTCCGACTGGAACAACTCTGACTCCTCCGTTTGGCTTACCAGCTACTGCCTGAGGGTGTTCCAGGAGGCCAGCTTCTACGAGTGGGAGAACTTTATCTGGATCGATGCCAGCATAATTGAGAAGAACATGCGTTGGCTGCTCCAGCACCAGACGCCGCAGGGCTCCTTCTACGAAGTCACATGGCTGCCGGACAGGAAACTAAACCGCACCAACTTCGACAAGAACATCACGCTTACCTCCCACGTGCTCATCACGCTGGCCACGGTCAAGGACATCTCTGGAACCATGGGATCCCGAGTGGCGCTGGCCACTCAGCGTGCGCTGGCCTACATCGAAAGGAACATGGACTTCCTGAAACGCCAGGCGGAACCGTACGACATCGCCATCACTGCCTACGCCCTGCAGCTGTGCAACTCACCGATCGCTGAAGAGGTCTTTGCCATTCTGCGACGCCATGCCCGCAACATAGGTGACTTCATGTACTGGGGCAACCAGGAGATCCCGCAACCGCCTCGAAAGCTGGAAAATCAGAAGTGGTTCTCCCTGCCCCGGTTGCCGTACGAATACGATTCCCTGAACATAGAGACGACGGCCTACGCCTTGTTGGTTTATGTGGCTCGGCGAGAGTTCTTCGTGGATCCAATCGTTAGATGGTTGAACTCGCAGCGCCTGAACGATGGTGGATGGGCTTCCACCCAGGACACCAGTGCCGCTCTGAAGGCCCTAGTGGAGTACACCGTGCGCTCACGTCTGCGCGAGGTTTCAGCCCTGACTGTGGAAATCGAGGCCTCCTCCCAGGGCGGCAAGACCCAGACCCTGATGATAGATGACACCAACTTGGCCAAGTTGCAGAGCATAGAGGTGAGGTTTAATTTTAAAAATATTTAAAGTTCTTATTTATATTATATTTTTTATTTTTTAGATTCCCGATGCATGGGGTACCATCAAGGTCCAAGCCAAGGGCGCCGGCTACGCCATCCTACAGATGCACGTCCAGTACAATGTCGACATTGAGAAGTTCCAGACCAAGCCGCCAGTGCCAGCCTTTGGCCTCCACACCAAGGCCATTTTCCACGGCAGGAATCAGTCGCACATCTCCTATGTGGCCTGCCAAAAGTGAGTTTTTAATTAATTTTCATCAGTGGGTTGTTCTCAACATTGTTTTAATGAAATCTCAGCTGGATAAACACCAATGAGTCGCAGCGCTCAGGCATGGCTGTGTTGGACGTGGCCATACCCACGGGCTACTGGATTCAGCAGCAAAAGCTGGACACCTACGTGCTCAGCAATCGTGTGAGGAATCTGAGGAGGGCACGTTACCTAGAGCGCAAGATTATCTTCTACTTTGATTATGTAAGCTATTTTTAAGAATCTTTTAACAGAAAAACTAATTTAATACTTTAAATAGCTTGATCATGAAGACATTTGCGTTAATTTCACAATTGAACGCTGGTATCCAGTCGCCAACATGTCGCGCTACCTGCCGGTGAGAGTCTACGACTATTATGCGCCGGGTAAGTCACCATATTCACTCTTTTTAAATCTCAAGAAATAATTAATCTATTCATTTCTTACAGAGCGCTTTAACGAATCAATATTTGACGCCCTGCCCACATATCTGCTGAACATTTGCGAGGTGTGCGGCAGCTCGCAGTGTCCCTATTGTTCCATATACAACATGGGCTGGCGCACCTCCATGTCCATGTCGCTGCTGTTCTTCAGCGTTTTCATCTACCTGCTGAGGAGTCGCACGCACCTGGTCCTCAACATGCTGCATTTGCTCACATAGTGAAGGCATAGATATAGAAGGCAACAGAGTCACCCACGAACACGCATTGCTAGGATCTGTCTGTTTTTTGTTCGTTCTTTAGTTTTTTTACGTTTAGTTTTTTGAGTTGTAGTAGTTTTTATTATTTTGCCAAACGAAATTGCATTCCGTCCAAAAATGCTGGTCAACTTTTTGGCTTTCTTCTTGTGTAGTAGTGTACTCCATTGACCCGCTGTATAATTGAAATGTGTACAAAACAGCAGCTAAATACTTTTACTTTTATTTTATATCGCTGAACAAAGAATCTTCTGCATGTAGCATCCTATATGAAATGTATATTGTAAGTCTTAAACCATGATACCATGCCTTATCATAGAGCGGGCTTCAAGTGCGGAGTTATGAGAAATCATCAAACCAATGTGTCTTTCACAAAATGCCTTTAATAGATTTTAGAAATCTTAAGCAACATATCTTGACGATACTTGCATAAGCACATATCGAATGAAAATTACCTAAATTTAAAATCTTAATCTTGAATATTTTTGTAACGAAATGGAAACCGTCCACTTTATTTATGCAACTAACGAATCTGCATAGTCTGTAAGTTTTATACGTATTTACCCTCTACCACTTCAAACCACAAATAGTTTGTATTACCACTCACCCAGCCATGTACTCGAAGCCGACGAGGATCTACCGAGGATATATACCCCTCGTTTGTATAACTGAGTAGAGTCTATCCCCACTCCACTACCGTAAGAATCGAATCTCTTTGTAACTTGTGTTTTCTTTTGTAATGAACGAAACTGAAAATGAAATAAATGAAAGTAATGTTTTACCATCGATGGTGTTATTTTTTAAACAATATCTTGAGTGTTGCCCCAAAGTAAAGCTTTTCAAGCCCATGGACCACAATGGATCGTCCAGCAAAAGTAATATATTTGTAGAATGCAAGGGGATGCAATATGGTCCCTGGAAAGTGTGTATATTTGCCAATTCGCATCAGATACCGAAATGGAAAACCCCAAACGATTAGTCCATCGATTCTCCATCAAAATCTAGACACAAAATAAACTCCATCAAAATCTAGACACAAAATATTTATTAGATTTTTTATCAAATTTCCTGGGTAGTCCCCTTCAAAAACGGGGAAAATGCATGGAGGCACAATGTGGCCCACAGCGATGGCTATATCTTTGGCAATGGTCATCCGATTCTTGAGCGGAATACCTTAAACGATTTGTGGACCGATTATCTTTCAATTTGCATCAAAATCTTAAAACAAAATATTTTTTAGATTTTTTGTCAAATTTTCTGGGGAGTCCCCTTTAAAAATGGGGAAAATGCATGGAGGCACAATATGTCCCACAGCGATGGCTATATCTTTGCCAATTCGCATCAGATTCTTAGACGGAATACCTTAAACGATTTGTTTATCGATTTTTTGTCTGCATTAATTACTTATTGTTTCGAAATCTAAGTGAATTTTTTAAAATATCGAAATGGTGATGAAATATAATTACCTGTAAAGGTTTTAATTTGGTTTTTTTTGTTTAATTTGTATTACCAATTTGTAAGTTTCACTTGTGCCATGAAACAGATTATTAGTCTTACCCTTGGAACCGTGCTAAGATAGCCACCAATGTCCTCTCCTTTAATTAATATCGTAAATTTTAATAGATTATTTTATAAAAATGTCATTATTTAATACATAGTAAAATATTTTAAGACCACCTTTCCGTTTACGAAGATAAGCAGGACTATTCGTGGTTTGACCATGCGGTAAATGAGACCGGGGAACATCTCCGGCTCGTACGAACTGAACTGGCCATGAACCTGGTTGAGGTTCTCCAAGCGGATAGGAAAGCGCCATTAGATGTCATTATTTAATACATAGTAAAATATTTTCCATTAAGTCGAATTGTTCGTAAAAAAATTGCTAATAAATAAATAATAGCTAATAGCTGGTAATTCTACTACGTCTTTCGGAAGCTGAGCAGAATGGGGGAGATCGCCTCCAGGCAGTCCATGATGTCTTTGCGGGACTTGGCGCCCGTGAAGACCACCTTTCCGTTTACGAAGATAAGCAGGACGATTCGTGGCTTGACCATGCGGTAAATGAGACCGGGGAACATCTCCGGCTCGTAAGAACTGAACTGGCCATGAACCTGGTTGAGGTTCTCCAAGCGGATAGGAAAGCGCAGGTCCACCGTGGCCACAATGTTCTGCAGCTTGTACTCCATGAATTTGACGGGGAACCCTAGCTTCTGGAGGATGCGGGCGAACTTCCGTGAGCCAATATCCGCATCGATTTCGTTGCGGGCACCTGTGCAGATAATTTTGCCCGTCCGAAAGATAAGAGCCGTGCAGCGTGGCGAGTGCATTCGCATTATCACACCTCGGAAGCGCTTTGGGGAGTACTCCGAGTTCCTCGTCCGGGAGTTGATGGCCTTGAGGTCCAGTTCGCAGTTCACCGAAAAGGTAGCCACTATGTTCCTGTGAATTACGAATGAGTTTCAGTTATTCTTTGCGAATTGCATCAGACCAGGAGACACTAACTGCAGCCGGATCTCGTGCTGGGCATCTTTGGGCTCCACCAACGCCGCCGGCTGCTGGGGCTGGAGGGCAGTATGTGGATTGACGCCGCCACTGGTGCTGGTGGCCGCCGCACCCTTGTCTCGTTCAGCATCCGTGACTTTGAAATGGAATTGCATGGCGTTGGAATATAAACAAATGTCAGCAGTTCGGGGGGTTCGAGGATGGGAGATGGTACTTTTGTAAGGTCACACTAAACCGGGGAAATCGTGAAATGCCGGTGCGGTATTTTTTTAAGACATAATTATTTTTCAAATAGTTAGTAGAATTATCGATTTTTTGAATAATTCTTTATAAAAAAAAAGAGAAAAAGCCAAAGGAAAATTATTCTGCTAATCAGGGTGGCTTTCAGTTAGCACTCATGACAATCCTAGGAGCAATCCTATGCCAATAAGTTTAGTTGGCAACACTAACCAACGGATTACAGAACTGGTCACACAGTAGGCATAGACCGAGTACTTTTGGGGCATTATTGGGGCAAGTAGACAAATATTCAAACAATAATGTCGGCCCACAGCGGTGGAACGGACTGGAATTCCGTGGTAAAAGTACTGCTTGTAAACCGCACTGGAGCTCTCAATAAGAATGAGGTAGTAAACCTGCTGAAGGCGATCAATCGATGGTAAGTACTGGATGGTCAGAACTTTTGTTGCCTGAATGGCGCAGTGAAAATTTTCGGGGACTGGGGACTGCAAGTGCAAAAAGTGACTTGCAAAATGGCCGCCCAGTGACGAAACGAAAAGCTTTTCAATAATTTTACAATCGGTTTGCCTTTATTTCGCGCAGCGAACATGAATTTTTCGACGAGGAAAGCAATTACACGCAATTCTACACGGCCTTTGCGGCTCTGGCGGCGGATAAGCTTGTGCAAATCAAGTCGAGTAAGTCTTTCAACGCCCTGCTGATTTTTTCAACAGCGAAAAAATTATTGTTTGCCCCAGAAATCGGGTGATTCACTTTAGCAAGGTCCTTTGTGAACATGATTTTCGTTTCTCAGTTTGCCAGACACAGATTTGTCAGCTGCACGATGCCACCGCCGTGCTCACCTCCTTCATCCTCCACCGGCTACCCCTGGTCTCGGTGTACGAAACCAAATGGCTGCTGGCGGCTCTTAAAATGCTTTGCGAAGGCCGGGAGAGCATCGCCAATTCGGCGGCGCAGTTCGACTACAATGCCGTGGCCAGTGTACTGAAAAGCTGCAAGCACCCAGAGTCTAGCAACAAGAGCATTATTGGTAGTAGTAGTACATCTGGAGGTGGAGGAAACAGCAATGACAAGGAATCACCAAAGTCTGAGATCAAGAGGTCTCGGTCGGACCTCTCCTCGGTTATTCTGCAGCAATTGTTGGCCCCATTGGAGCCGGGAAAGATGACCTGGGTGCCACTGAGCGAGGAGATCACCGATTGCACAGTAACTAGATAAAAACATTTTAGCTAGGTTTTGATTATATAATTATGTGTAATTGCAGGACCAACTTCAGGCAGTTAATTTGCAAAGCTTTCAGCAGATGAACGGCGCCGATACCCTGCTGAACATGTGTGTAGGCCTGCCTATATTGAATCGATATCGCTCCAAGTACTTGGAGACCATCAACGGCGGCAAGCCACTATATCTGCCACTCACGCAAGTGGAGGCCACATCAGTGAAATCTAGCATGAATCACATGCTGACTGATCTATCCATTCTGAGTCAGGCCCAGGGCTTGATCGCTTCTCAGCCCTTGACGCCTAGTCGCATCGACAAGCTCTCAATGTGCGGAATCACCGCCCTCTACAATGCGGTGCTGGTTTCGATTACCACCAGCGTGCTGAGCATGTCCCAGGCGAGCAGTTCTCAGAAGCAGCAGACTGCATCCACCAGTCAGGGCAGTGCCGGAGGCGGCGGATCCAGCAGTGGACAAACCTCAAAAGAACATGACGATTTCGAGGAACAGGCTTGCAGCATTGTCAGCAAAGCCTTGGAGATCTACACGAGCATCGGTGAGTTATTCAAGACCTCGGCCAGGATGCATGTCTATCAGAACCATCTCTGCTACGGCAGCTGGTTGCTCATCAGCGGCATTCAGGGAGCCATGGGGGCCTCAGGTAGCACCGGAAGTGCTGCGGACCCTTCATCCAAGTCGAAGCCACAAGCTGCAAAGGCTACGGCATCGGGGAGTGAGCCCGGCACACCTATCGCCAGAGTAAATCTTTTCAAAGTCCAGCAGGGATTCGGAGAACTCAATGCAGCGATTGCTAACCACAGTATCAAGCTTCTGTCGGAGCTGATCGAGGATCTGAAGATTGAGTCTGCCTGTGGACAGAGTTCTGAGTCCGGGGATATACCCGAACCGGCCCAGTTCGATATTTTGAAGAACTACACTTCGCTGGAGCGAATCGTGCGGGTCCTGAATACGGCTACCCTGCACCAACTGTTTACTTTCTTGGCCACCGTAGCTTACCGCAAGGCGTGCACCTTGCGGCGAGCTTCAGCCAAGGATCGCACTGAATGCGATCCCATCAGCTACTCGGACTCAACCACGTACTTTAACGATTCGCTCTCCTGCTCCGACAACTCGGAGGAGGATGACAGCGAGAGCTACCTGGGCCACTGGTTCAAGGAGACCCTCTCGCCGGAAACCCACGACGACAATGCGAACACATCCGCGCAAGAGCGAGGAAACGAGCAGAAGAGTGCACTTGTTCCCAAGCTGGATGAGCCGCACGAGTACCTCGATCTGGCGGCGGATATCTTCTGTTTCCTGGACCAGTTTCTGGCCAACCGCCATGCTTACATGCAGCGCTACGTGAAGGCGGGCGTCAGCGATCAGCAGATGCTGCTCATGGCCAACATTATCAAAGATTTCGACAGGGATGTGATGCGGAGTGACAGCGAGCAGGGGTCTGGTAATGCCGCTCAGGCGGCAAATGCTGGTTCGGCCGTCTCCACTGGTGCCTCCACCAAGTGGCAGACCTCGATGATTCGGTTTTCGGGCGCTGCCGGCCGCTACATCCACAACTTGATCTCCACATCGCTGCTCTCGAAGCAGCTGCAATCGAATCTGCTTCAGCACCTGGCTATCTCGCCCTGGTCCTCCGATACCAGCACCTGGCCGTTGCAAGTCTATCCCAGCACACTGTCTGTGCTCGTGCAGATCCTGCTGCTGAAGACCACACAGGAGAAGGAAGCAGCCTGCCTGTCAGTGTGGCATCGCCTGATCAACACCCTGGTGGAGGGAGTTTGCTCTTGGAATACAGCCAGTGACTCGGACTATGAGGACCTGAATATCGAGCATGCCCAGATGCTGCTCTTCCTATTCCATTCCCTCAACCTCATGCAGAAAAAGTCGATCCTGCTGCTGACGGCCGGCGGCGTGATCCGCTGTGCGGAGGTCTGTCGTGGCATCTCTGCCGAACGACCCGTGAAGAACAGCCAGATGATGTTGCTATCGCGACTGCTTCTCTTCCTGGAATACCTCATGAAGCACCTGTACAACGCCCCGCCGGAGCTACTGGACCAAGTGCGCTGGAACCTGTTCAGTGTTAGCAGCATGCCGGAAACCCAAAAGATCACCGATCTGCTCAACAGCCGAACCAAGTTGAACTCGTTCTGCCGACAGGATATCGAGGATAAATTCCGCAAATCCACGGGTGACTATGGATCATGTAAGTCTTCTATATATTTCACCATTGTATTCCATCCATAACCTCCCCATGTCTTGCAGCAATTCGCCCCACTTTCTACTCCCTAGTCATGGGAGATCCCGAAAAGCCCTATTGGGCGCAGGAGTTCAAATTGGATGGCCTGGCCTGGAACTTTATCTTGTGCACGCCGGACAAGCTAAAGTATCCCTTGCTGGTGGATGCCCTGACCGATATTCTGGGTATCGTGGACATGTCAGCCTATTCAAAGGAAAAGGAGAAGGACGAGAGCATGCATAACCTGTGTGCCATGCAGTACTGCTTCAGCATTGCCTGGAAGCTGCTCCTCGGTCTGCCGCCCTCCACCTCGCACGTGGAGTCCATAAAGGTGGATCGAGCCCCCAATCTTCACTCGCTGATCTGGAGCATCCGCTATCCGCTTGCGAGCTCCCAGTACTTGGTGGTGAACAGTCTAATCAAGCAGGGAATGTACACCCAGTTCGCGGAGTCCCTGTGGAACCAAGTGGGCGACATAGCCGCCGAAATGAAGTTCAGCCTGAAGCAGACCACCCTTGGGGTAGAGGCCTTCAACGCGCAGATGAACGGCAAAGGCACTCCGCGTCTGTCCGAACTCATCCTTTTCGATGCTCTGGTAGCCCACATGCAGGCCGTGGCCTGGGCCCACAAGGAGGGCTACAAGCTGACGCGCAAGGAATGCGATGACTCTTCCAGCGAGCAATCCTTCAGCACCGGCGCCTCTGCAACCGGCGGCTCTAACGAGCCCGAGATATACTCCTCGAATGAATCGATAGATCAGCAAAAATCCAAACCGGAGGAGGAGGGTCTGCTGCCCGCCAACCTGGAGGAACGAAACCAAATGCTCAAAGAGCTGATGCTCAAGCTGATGACCTCCTACCGGCTCCTATCCGTCATTGTGCGTGCCCAGATGCTGAAGCAGTTGTCCAGCTCCACGCCGGAGCAGGCACTCAACCTGATAGTGCCGATTGTGAGTGACAAGCCAGCGATAATGCTGGAGCTGCACGCAGCTTTCTTAAAGCTCCTCCCCAACGAGGACAAGCAGCTAATATCCAACGAGTGGCCCAAGTGCCTGGTGGTCAACGACTCGGCCTTCGATGGCAAACAACATCCGGTGGAGCCCTACACCCTCCATGTGATAGATGCCCACATCACGGAACTGACGCATGGAGCCAACTACTCCACTCTGCACACTGTGAAGCACTGCCTGAAGACGATTCTGAACCTCTTTGAGTTGCTTCTGCCCCTCTGCTACAGGAATGCTGAGGTGGAGTCGCAGCTGAAGATGCTACTGATCGCCTCCATGCTGGACATGCGAACCGATTACCTGCAGGCCCAGAGCGAGCAGTGTCTGCGGGAGATCCTCAGCGGCCTGACGCTGGAGGCCCAGAAGTTGCTACTCTACGAGCACATGATCGGCTACTGCTATCGCATGCTCATCGACTTCGCCGCCGATCTCAGGCAGCCGCAGGCTGGGGCAGCGAGCACCAGCAGCGGAGCCGTGGACCAAGATCGCGCCATGTTCAACGAGTCGATGCTGTTTGCGGTGCTGAAAACGATGATCAAGATGCTGGAGAA